GGTAAGACTGATGGGCCTATAGTTGCCCGGGTCCCCTCTCTTCCCTTTTTTGGAGATGGGGACCATGTTATGGCAACTGCAAATTGGAAGCTGGCTACAAGAACCAGACACCAGCATGAAGCAGGTAACAAAGACCATGAGTAGGTGCTACCATCCCAACTGCATATCTGGCCTTAGAGTACTGCAGGGGGATATGCCAATAAGAGCACACTGACAGACTCAGGGATCAGGGTTTCCAAACCGGGCACGGGCTAGCAGTAGAACTCACGTGCCCATGCCTTTGGCACCAGGCCCTGACATCCATTATCAAGGAGGAGACTATTATGGCCTGCACCACCATGGGGAAGAGCACTGCAGCACATTCCTGGAAACATACACAAAAAGAGCTGCCAAAGCAGAATCAGCAAATGTTCCGGCCTTTAAAAACAGACATGCAGCCTATTCCCATCCCCAAAGGACTGACACTAACAGCACCTCCATCTTCATTTAGTGAGCACCCACTTCACTGGAGCTAAAAGAGCTTCCGCCTGGCACTAACCCAGAGGGGGCATATCAGCTACGCATCAGCCAGAAGGTGGCAGGATGAGCTCAGGGAGGACTGAAGAAGACTAAGGGCCCTGCCCCACATTCAAATCAAAGCTGGATAGAAACCATCTAGAGAGCTGTTACACATTTTTAAGCACTAACTTTGCAGCTGGTTGGCTTTTTTCATAGCTGGATGGCCATTTTTATGGCATGATAATTATTTTGCTTGTGTGACTGGTCTAAATTTATTGCTCGATTAACTAGTTAATTACATAATATATGTAATGTGTAGCAGGAGTCTATGGGTATGGACACATACATACGAAACCCTTCTGAATGGGGAAGGTTTCAGAAGGGCAGCAGCAAGGCCATTTGAACTGTTGTGTGTAAAAGCTGAGGATGACTCCCATGTAGCAAAACTGCACTGGTGTTTAGCACTGCTTGATCCAGGGTTAAACCCCAGTGGTTTTGCTACTGAGACTCGTTCTGCAGCTCCTCCAAACATTAGAAACAGAAGGTAATGGCTGCCACCCTTCTGAATAGGCTTCAGATGTACGTGTCTATTCCTGCTGGAGACAGCTGCTGACCTACCACGACTGAGCAGGAAAAGCCCTGCTAATGATACATTTACTGCAGGGATGTCCAACTGGCAGGCCATGGACCACATGTGGCCTATGAGGGATGAAGCTACTGCCCTCAGGCTGCAGCTTGGCTGCTGCTCCCCTTATTATTTCAGCTGCAACATCAGTAGTGGCAGAGGGTGCAACAGTGGCAGGGATGCCCACATGGACACACACAGCAGTAGCAGCAGAGCTGCTCACACAGCCTCATGGTGCAGCTGTGGGTGTGTCCACACAGTGTGCAGCACAAGAGCCTGTGACTTGCTCTGGTGCAGCCTGCAAGGTGTGTGGTCCCCAGTTACTTGGAAGTTGAACAGCCCTAACACTTAAAACTGAGGGTGGTAACTCCTCATAACAATGGGCAGAGGAAGCAGTGGGACCCTAGCGAAACCTGGTTGCATCAGACACTGTTATTTAGAATAGCGCTGCCTGGAGATGACCTGCTAGAGACAGAGAAGTGCTTTCTGCACCCCGCTTCAGAAGAAGGGCTGGAGAACCAGCCATGGAGCTATGGGCTAACCTTTTCATAGAATCATAGAAAGTTATGTTTGGCAGGGATCTCAGGAGTTCATCTAGTCCGACCCCCTGCTCAAAGCAGGACCATCCCCAACTAGATCATCCCAGCCAAAGCTCTGTCTAGCCAGGTCTTGAAAACCTCCAAGGATGGAGATCCCACCACCTCTCAGGGTAGCCTGTTCCAGCGTTTTACCACCCTTCTAGTGAGAAAATTCTTCTTAATATCTAACCTAAACTTCCCTTGCTGTAACTTGAGACCGTTGCTCCTTGTTCTTTTATGCTACCCTGGCACATTCCTCCCTCTCTAGATCATATTTGTTACAGTCACAGGTGCTTCCCTTCCCTCCCCAGCTCTGCCACCTTAACAGATGCCAAGGGGACTTACTGATTTCCGTGCATCTATGGGCAGTAAGCAGTCTACTCAGTGAGCAGTTCAGGAGAGCTGTGCTAAAACAGCAGTGGAACAGCTGCTGTTATGGAGAGACTTTATGTGACTGAGTGAAAAGAGTGAGCCGTCTGTGGGATGCATGTATACTGGTCTTACTTGGTAAAGATTTGATCTGGGGAGGAGTCTCAAAAGTGGAATAACTCAGTGTAGTAGCAAGACGCAAAATTCCCAAGGAATGTTTTTATTCACCACCACATCATTTCAAGCTAGGTGCAAAGAGGACACAGCACAGAAAAAGGGTGACAAATTGCAGCAGCAGATTGGTCTGAACCCAGCTGTATTGTGACCATTGAGAAACTTAGCTGAAGGGGTCTGAATTGATGCTGCAGCCATTTTCTCCTGAGCCCCAGTTTATTTGCTGACAGTCTTCCTTTAGCACCATCTCCCATTCCAGAAAGAGTATGGCCTGCCAGAGCCTGCCCTCATAGATTCATAAAAATTAAGGCCTTGAAGGGACATCAAAAGATCATCAAGTCCAATCTCCCCTGCTCTGGGCAGGAATACTGCTGAGACTGGAGGAGAACGAGGGCAAAGCTCCATTTTTTCCCCTTCTCAGAACCCATGAATGCATCCAAGGGTAGGTTTAGTTTGCTTTCTCTTTTTATGAACATATGGTTGCTGTGAATCCCTTCTCCACAGACGGTTCAGTTTGTTCCCAGACTGGCCCGGGGAAAACCATCTTGCTGCAGTAGCCACTGAAACAAAAATGTACAGAGTTGAACAACCAAAGGCCACAGCACATCTGGCCTTCACAGAACAATCAACTTGATAAAATCAACTCAATCCCACTTCAGTTTTGAATACTAAATCCCTCTTCCAAGGCAATTTCTTTTTAGACTAGTGATGACAAGGACAGTACTGAAACAAAAGGCACGAGGGAAGGGAGAGGTTGCTGGCTAATGAGGGAGGAGGGTTAAAAGTGATCCTGACTGAAAGATGACATAGGTAAGACCATAAACAAAAGTGCATCAATTTAACTAACAGGGAAATTTAAGCCAATATAGTGCCACTTCGTATCAACACTCTCTTAACTTGGATTTAAAACCTGAATTCCAATAGTTTAGTTTAGCCCTGTTCTAGAGATGGCCAGCTTCAAGAAATCAGCCCTCGTTGCCACAGATAACAGTAGAAAACTGCATACCTGCTGCTGTCAGTGCTCTTTTGTTTCCTGGTGTCTAGTTGTGCCCCATCCATGTGCCCGTCTCCTTCAGATCTGGGGTTCCTGGAAAGCAGTTTTGGGAAGCTGGCAACAGAACCAGCTCCTCTCAGTTCAGCTCTTCATCCTCTTCGTCCAGCTGGTTTGCAGACCTGCAGCACTTCTTAGAATCCTTCTGTTCTTCAACAATTCACTGCAGGATGTCTCTGTGCCCCTTAGTAGCCAGCCACAGAATGGAAAGACAAGTCCCAAGAATTTTTTCCAATCCACAGCAGGGGCACTTTTCCTGCCCCCATGAGCTTTGCCAAGCTAGATCTTCCCTTCCTTCATCTCCTCATGACATTGTTTTATGCTCAACAACAGCTCAGCCACCAACAAGACAAGTGACTTCCCTCGAATGGGGAAACTAGCCACAAGGTCTTAGACCAGTTGGCAGAAGCCTTGTGTACTGGTTTCCTCTCAGGCAACAGAATCACCTGGGCCACAGAGACAGATGTCGCTCACTACAGAAATACGGAGGCTCCACACCAAAGGGTGTCCTCAGTGCTGTTTGTGTGGGCAAGTGAATTCTAGCAACCAGAGCTTTATGCAGCAGGAATCTGCCCAACTATGCACTGGCTGCAAGGACTGTCACCAGGAGGAGCATTTCATCACTTGGGCTAAGGCCACAAGTGAAATCCACCTACACGACACTGTCACGGTAGACTCCAGTGCAGTGGAGGACCAAAGTTAATTCTAAGTGCAATTCAAATCTCTGTGCACTGTGTATGAATGAGATGTGTTGTACAGGTGACAGGGAACAACAGGACTGTGGCCAGTTTTGGGCAGGGAAGTTCTGGCAGAATCCAGAGGAGAGCAGCAAAGGGTATCAGAAGTCTAGAACATGAGGCATGGTGAGAAGAATGGGGATTATTTAAGTCCAGAGATGACAGAGGGGTCTGACAGTAGTCTTCAAATTCCAAGAGAAAAGGCTGTTAGAAAGAGGATGTCACACAAATGCACTATGTCCACACATGGGACAGTGTAAACTGTTACAGGAGGGATTTTAGGAAGAACTTTCTAACTCTGAAGGAGGTCAATCACTGGAGCAGACTAGCTAGGGAGGTTGTTTCTAAGTGCAGGTCAAACAGACATTTGTTTGGGGTCATTTAGACAGGAACAGTCCTGCCTCAAGCAGCAACTTGCACTAGATACAGCTTCAGGAGGTCCCATCCAGCTCCATTTTCTATTATTTATCTAAAAAATTCTCTGATCCACAATGGGACCACAGAGTGAGGAAAGCAATGTAATACCAGAGAAAACAGACACACTGCGTGAGAAGCCACCCAGAGTCCAAGGGTAGTAAGGTTTATATTTCTAAAGAAAACTGAGCATACCTATCTTCACTACTTGCAAGGGCCATGATGTCCTTTTCCCTCCCTTAGTTACCTCAAGTCATGGAGGTCAGGCCTGATAAATCCAGCACCAGTCTGACTCGCTGTCACTGGATCCTTCAGTCTCAAATCCCTGCCTGTTTCCCCTTCTAGAGACTCACATGCTCCTTCCACTGGGCTCCCAAACAGCGCCAAGAGGTTCTGCCTTTCTCCCAGCCACACAGAAGACACAGTCTGACATCAAGCACCCTCTCCCCTTTGCAACTACCCATTCCCCACCACCACTTTCTCACTCAATTAACTCAGGCTTATCATATTACTATCATGCTACACGGAGGGAGGTATGGAAAGCAAGAACTCACGTGTTTGAAGCAGCTGACAGGGGCAGCCTTGTATCCATGGTCCTGCAGGTACTTTCCCCAGTCAAAGCCGAGCACAAGAGCTGCAAGATAACATCATGGTCAGTTGGTTCTCAAGAAAGTCCTATGCAACCATTTACTTTGTAGGCAGCAGTTGGGAACCACAGGGTGGCCCAGTAGGGGAAGAGGTCACCACTCTACCCTGACAAACAAGAGATCTGGGGGCTAATCCCATTTGCTGGCTGGCAGGGAAAAGTCAGAAGCCCCAAGTCCAAGTTAAAACCTGACATGAAAGATGATCACAATCCTGTGGGAAGAGGGAGGACAAGGGCAGACAGCCAGGACAGACAGGTGTTAAGCTAATGATGTGCTTGTGCTCCCAGCAACTACAGAGGAAGGGGCAGTAATGGACACTGGGTCCTTCCCACTCAGGTTTCTCCATGCTGCAATCAACCTGACCCAGACAAATGTGCACTCCTTCCCCTCCCCGATTCCAATACGTAGCAAGGGTGTGCACCAAGCTCTGCGTCGCTTGCTACTGCCTGTGCCAGCCAGTCTAATGTACTGCTGCGTCTCCTCCATGCCCATCTGCACTCACCGTCCTGGCCCGTCAGTGTTCCATCTGCCAGCTGCCCCGTCCCTTGGGAATGGAGGAAGGCCCCAATCTTGGCAGACCATGCTGCCTTGTGCAGGACCTTAGCCTTCTTTGTAGGTGGCTTGCCCTGCGAGAGTGTAAGAGGGAGCGGATGTTGGGACTGAGAGGCATGGGGAAAACCTGTCCTAGCAGGCGAGGGGCAGACTTACCTTTCTCTCTCTGGGAGGAGGATCTTTCCTACACTCATGAACCATAAGAAACTGAAAACCCAATGGACATAGCATCGCTCCCCCCCCCCGCCATTTCTTTCCAACCCATATGGCTAACTGGACCATTTGTGGGTCCTTAGACTGCACAGGAAGGAAAACAGGCACGAACAGGCCTCAGGCGAGCATTATCTAGTCCAGCGGTGGGCAAAATATGGCCTGCAGGCTTGACAGAGGGGTGGGGCAGACTGCACCTACACTGCACTGCCCGGGTGAGCTCTGCTGCACGTGCTCCCTACCCCTCCCCACCCATGAAAGGTTCCTGGGACCTACTGCGTGGGCACCCCCTGCGCGCGCGCACACACACACACACTCACCCCTCCACACACTTCCCCACCCCTCCACCTCTCCCCCCAACACATTCCCCCACTGCCCCCACTCCCACAATATACAAGAGTAAGACTTTATTTTAAGCTATATACTATATACACACACTACTCAAAAAAACCATAAAATCAGGACACTTTTTTAAAGTAAAATTAAAATACGTTCTAGTAATTGTTTGATTTTAGCATATGATTTTTTTAAATCTATAATTTGTTAAAATGATTCCTTCTGAAAGATTCTGTGTGTGCGACCCTCGACTTCTCACAAACTCCCTAAGTGGCCCTCCCCATATCTAGTCTATGCCAGCAAAATGGTTGCTGGTTTTGCCCACAGAGGAAACAGCACAGGTGTCACTCACCTGCAACCTTGCCAGGATGCTGGCTTTCTTTGAGTTGGAGGAGTAGCTCCTGGAGCAGGAGACACTGCAGAAGCGTTTGGTCTTGGAGAAGAAAGCTTCTCGTGTGCCCACGATCCCGCACATCTCACACACAGCTGGAGGAGAGGCAGACAGACTGTGAGCAGTGGGGACTTCACCAGCCCTGCCAGGACAAAGCTCAAGCCAACTCCACTACAGCACCGGTGAACACTGACTGACGTTTAGTCCTGGTAGAACCCTGGGCCCCACTTGATGCAACTGGGAGTGGAGAATGTACACTGTGCAGCTCTGTCTCCAAAGCGCACACGTTATGCTACACCACCATACATCTTTCAGCAGTGCACTACTTTGAAATGGGTCCTTATCTGCTTCTAGCAACTCTATGCTGTGCGGTGGTACCTGGTTCAGAGCCACTGTCCTCCATCATCCGGCCTGGGGTGGTGGGTGTGTGCAGTGGCAGAGGGGAGGTGGACAGCTCCCCAGCTTCCCGGGTGGCCATGTCATCATTGCTAGAATCATCGAAGTAGGAGCTGCTGTCACTGCCCATGCTGCTGTTGTAGCCCCGGAAGCTGTCGTAACCCCCAAAGAGGTCCAGGTCATCGTCTTCTTCCTCTTCCTCCTCTTCCTCCTCTCCCACCCGCTCCAAGGAGGAGGTCTTCTGGCTGAGGGAAGACACCAACTGACAAAGAAACGACACTTTAGAAGACAGATTTTCAGTGTTCCCTTATGCCAGCAATGATGAACCTCTGGGCTCCGTTTCCCAGCCACCCCTGCCCACATGGCTTGTGCCGGTCTCCATGGAGACCTCAGCCACACCAGCAGTGCAGGGGGCTGCTCCAGAGCTGCTGGGAATGTGGGACGAGGGCAGCTTGCTGCGGAGCCATGATCTGTAGTGTGGACACTCTGTGCAGAAGCACACATCCAGGGGATCGTGGCTCTGCCCTGGCTTCTTGCAGCAGGCTACAGATTGCAGCTCCGCAGCAAGCTGCCCCCGTCCCATGTTCCTGGCAGCTCTGGAGCAGCCCCTGCGTTGCTCTGCCACACGCTGCTGGCATGGCTGAGGTCTCCGTGAAGACTGGTACAAGCCATCTGGGCAGGGGCGGCTGGAAAATGGAGTCCCCGGCTGATTGGATCCAGCCCATGGGCCGGACGTTCCCCATCCTTGCCTTATGCAGTAAAGCCTGACCCTCCAGAGCAAGTCACTAGCTGTGGCAATCACAGGGTACCAGGACCAGACCCCTGAGCCAGCATTAGCTTCCCTGGCAGGAAGAATTCCCACCAGCTCCACATTTCCTTAATGTTTTACCCCTCATACACATCTCTCCGAGAAGGGCAAGCACAGGAAAGACATTGGGAGCAGAGAGCAGGAGGCAGACCAATGGCTTATAGCTGCAACACAGTAGGTTTAGATTAAATATCAGGAAGAATTACTTCATTGTTACAGCACTGAGGCTGTAAAATAGACTATCTAGGGAATTGGGAGATCTCCATCACTGGAGGTTTTCAAGAGTTTGGATAAGCACGAATCAGGAACAATCTAGAAATAGCTATGCCTATGCTCACTATGGTTATTTCCCCAAGTTTCTGGGCTTTGCTGGTTACTGGATGAGGCCAGGAAGGAATTTATTTCCCCACTCGTGTTGCTACTGCACCTGTTCAGGGAATTTTCTTTTTGCCTTCCTCAGAAGCATAAGGAGGTAGCTGTAGCCAAGGCTTGGGATTTTGACTTGGGTGTACCAATGCTCCTTCTGGGACTAATGAATAGTTGGAGGTTCCTCGCTAGAGGGTCTTGCCCCTCCACATCGGGCCCGACCAATGATCACATTTGGGATCAGGAAGGAATTTTATCCCAGGGTATGACTGGCATGGGCTGGGGGAGCTCTGGCCTTCCTCTGTAGCAGGCATGTGGCCCTCTTCCTAGGATCTCTTGAGCATATGTTAACAACCCTTGCAACAGGACACTGGACCACCCTTGTTCCTCTGCTTTACCTGTGGCAGGTTAAGATGCTGTGTGCATTGTGGTTGTGCAACAGGGTTGTGTACTTTTAGTAACAGGGTAGACAAGGATTTGTACCAGATGATTTGGATAGGGCAGGGGGTTGGACTAGAAGACCTTCAGAGGTCCCATCCAGCCCTACTTTTCTATGCTTCTGTGACCCAGGAGCAAGAAGCCAGAATGCCTGAAACCATCCTGAGTGGGGAGGGGTCAGTATGAATTCATAGGGAAGGAGAGAGACCACTCCTTTTCACTCACTTTCCTGTCCAGTGGTCGTACTTCTTCACACCCACTAGAAAACATTTCTGTGCTGTCACCAGGGTGGCCCAGCAGGGAGAGGAGCTGTCAGCACAAACCATCCATTTCAGTAACTAGCCGCTGCTCTCCATGCTATTTAACCCTCCCCAATAAAGCTTGGGACACAGTGGATCAAAAAATGGCCTTGAAGCAAGGAGGTGCATTTTTTAACAAAAGTAAAAGCTGTACACTTTTTTACCACCACATTCCCTGGGCTGACTTTGGCTCAGGAGCTGCACTGGAAAACCAGACAACTTGCATTTTCAAGTATTAAATAAGTATCAGTCAAAGCCCTTTTCCACCTGTGATTTCAGCATGACCTATTCGTACAGCTATATCCATACAGCAAGGAGATGCAAGAGTAGAGGGACAGCAAATCAGGAGATGCACAAAAGGGCCCGTCTTTAAGAAGATGGAGGGGAGGAAGAGGAGTGATTAGTTGTGCTTTAGACACAGATTAAGGAAGTTAGGAGATATGCTGTTGCCAACAGCTCATGCACGGACACTGAGGCTCAGCAGTGAGAGGGGCAAGGGAGAGAAGAGCAGAAGCACAGACGTGCAGTCACAGGGAGAAAGGAGCTCGCAGCAGCAGCAGCCGGCAAGGAAACATCACCACCAGTCAGCACTGCCAGCAGCCCTACTGCTTTGCACCCACAGGTCTCTCTCTCCTGTGCGGTGCTTGCAGTGGCATGAGATTTTCTTTAGAGCTAGTCACTGAGCCCAGGCATCTTTCTGCTGCTCGCAAGAGCAAGACCAGAACAGCTGCAGAACACAGGGCCTGCTGTGTGTTCAAGTGAAAGCTAGATAGAAACCAGCTATGGAGCTGTCAAGCACTACCTTGGGAGCAGGTTGCAGAGACTGGAGCTCTGCCTATCTGGCCCTGGGCATGACACCAGAAGCATTTCAGAGGTCCTGGACTTCAACCTCTTACCTAGCTGCCTAAGTTTAGGTCCCAGGACCTCCCTGCTACCCTCACCCACGTGCTGGTGCCCACACGGACCCAAGAGACTGGGCAAGGATACAGTACGCAGGACCCTGGGCAAGATGTCCGACCCAGTAAGTGGCTGTTCTTATAGGATGGCCATTTTGATGGTGTGAGTGTTACTTTGCACCACACTTATTGTGCAGTTCACCCACCAACTGTGTCATACATGTAAGGGGGGGCAGGGGCCCCGCGCACGGATCCATCTCCTAGTGCCAGTTGTTTGCACCCAAGGGCAGCCCCAGGACAAGAGAGGGCTCCTGCCACCCGCAGCCAGGGCCTCCCAGACGCAGGGGAGCCCAGGGCTCCCAAGGGCCGCGCTAGGCCTGTGCCCGGGGAAGAACCCCGGGGGGGCGGGTTCCCCCGTGGCACTGTGACGCAGGGCTCCACGCCCCGCCCCCCCGCGGGACCGTGGAATCTCCGCGGCAGCGATTGTGACGCAAAGCTCCACGCCCCGCCCCCCTGGGGAGCCCCCAGCTCCTTCCAAGGGGGTCCGAACCCATCCCCACCCCCGTCCCCAGCCCGGCCCCGGCCCCGGCCCCGTGGCCGCCCCTTACTTCGCCCTGCTCCTGCTCCGTGGCCGCCATTGCCGGGATCCTGCGCCCCGAGCGCTCCCCACCCCTGCCCGGCTCTGCTCGGCTCGGCCCGCGGCACTCACATGGCGGGACCTCGGCCCTACTTAGCTTCACTGTCCCCAATACATCGGGGCAGCCGGTTGGCCGCCGGACCCTCGCGCCTGCCAATCGTCAGGCAGATTGCTTTGCAAAGGCAGACAGCGGAAGAAACGCGCAGTCCGGCCGCACGGCATCCTGGGACTCGTAGTTTGCGTCCCTGCCAGGCGCGGGGAAGAGCGTTGGGGCTGGCCCGTGCGGCAGGCTGCCAGCTTCCGGGCTCTGGCCCCGCTTGCTCCGGCTCTTGCGGGCCTTGGGCGGTCCGGCGGCTGTTCCAGTGTGCAAGGTGCGGGTCTGAGCCGTGAAGGAGACTCCGTTTTTAAAGTCTTTGCAACCGTTTCCTGTACTCCTGCGACCACTTTTGGGTTGTGACTGGTGGGTTGAGAAATGAGCTAAGCCCAGTCCTGCAGAGGTGGTGGTGTTCAGCAAAGCTGGAGAGAGGAGGGGCCTGAGGCAAAGCCACTGGCGTGAGAGGCCCCGTGGGGCAGCTTGCCTGTTTCCTCTTCTCCCCCCACCCCAAAAAACCCAAACACCTTTTCTGTTTTTTTTTCGAGGTTAGTGCTGCACAGGCCGCACTATGGATGGGAGTAGGAGGTAGCAGCAGTAGTTAACACCTTGAGCAGAGAGTCTTTAGTCTCAAGTCAGGCCAAAGGCAGAGCAGAGGTGCACTTTATATGCAAAGATGTAAGGCCTACCCCTTTTTTATTCAGAGCTTTCATGAAATCAAGCCCACTCCCTCAGATACTATGACAGGACAGAAGAAAGCTACGTAGGAAGGAATGAGTGATTTGAATTCAAGACAGGTATGCCTTAGTTGGGATATAAGATGCAACTAGTTTAAGACACATGCACAAAGACGTACATGCATACAGAAGCAGGCCTGGAAGGGACCTCCAGAAAACATTTAGGCCAACCCCTTGCCTGAGGCAGGATCATCATATCCAAACTATCCCATACGATCCAAAATCTAAACTCCGTATACACAAGATTACTGCTAGTCCTGACCCAACACCCTAACCAGCCCCAGGTAAAGCAGGGGAACCACAGCAGCCAACATCTCATTTTCATGAAGTATCAATATATGCTCAAGAGATCCTAGGTAGAGGGCCAGAGCTGTGGCCCCTTCTTCAGCAGCCCATCTCAGTCAAGGACAGCTGTCTTCCATTAACATTTCATCTGTGGGTCTGAAGATGGCCAATACAGGATCAACAGACTGTTACAACTCAGGCATGTGTTTCTGCATGGGGTAGGTGGCTCCAGATTCTTGATTCTGTCTGTGATGCACTGTTTCTGCCACTCCCACTTTTCCATCTCTTGTTGTTGTAAGGTTTCAAAGTATCGAGATTCTTGCAGCAGACTCTTCCTCCATTTGGGGAGGTCCTAGGCAATAGTTTCCCCATAAGCTGCTGCTAATGTTGCATTTTTTCCAAGTTGGCCTTGAGGATGTCCTTGAAACACTTTCTTGGCCCTCCTTTTGAGCGTATGCCTTGACTGAGCTTGGAGAATAAAACTTGCTTTGGAAATCAAGAGTCAGACATCCAAATTATATGGCTGGTCCAACAAAGTTTATGTCAGATGATCATCCCTTCAGTACTCATACTATTTGCTTGCGAGAGGATGCCAGAAAATGTTGGTGAGGTAAATCTTCCCACTGGATTTGAAGGATCTTCTGCAGGCAGTGTTGATTATATTTCTCCAATGACTCAAGGAGTCTCCTCTACATTGTCCACACAAGTCTCAGCTCTGTACAAAAAAGGTGGGGATCATAACTGATTGATAAACCATGAGCTTGGTTTTGGATCTGATGACAGTCTTTGAAAACCTGTTTTCTCAAGTGCATCCAAAGGCTGCACTTGCACATTTGAGGTGATGTTGGATTTCTTTCATGTCAGCCTCTTGTGAGAGATGGCTTCCGAGGTACAGGAAATACTCAACATTCTCAAGAGTCTCACTATGAATCTGAATTACTATTAAGAGCTTGTTGTTGGAGGACCTTAGTCTTTTGAATGTTAAGCTTTGGTCCCATTTACTTGTATGCCTCCCTAACGATGTTGACAATTGCTTGAAGGTCTGTTTCTAAGTGAGCGCAGACTATAGCATTAACAGCATGCTGCAGCTTGAGGATTGAGCTTGATTGGTCTTGATTTTGGCTCAGAGTTGGGTGGGATTAAAAACAGTTTACCATCCATTTGGTAGTTTAGCTCTACTCTGGCTGGAAGCTTGGTGGTAGTCAGATGTGGCATCATGACAAGGAATAAATCAACAACAGTGTTGGAGTGATGATGCAGCCTTGCTTAACTCCCATCTTAACCTCAAAACGGTGATAGATCCGTTACTGAAAACCACTCGTGTAGCAGGCAAAGAATGGTCATGAATTTCAGTGGGTATCCATATTTCAAAAGGATCCTCCATAGCACTTCTTGGTCGACAGAGCTGAAGGCTTTTTGTGAGGTCAAACAATGCCATGTAGAGAGGTTTATGTTGTTTCCAGCATTTTTTCTGCAGCTGGCAAGCTGTGAAGATCATATCAGTTGTGCTTCTCAATGCCCTAAATCCACACAGATTCCAGGAGGAGCTCTTCATCAAGTGGAAGGAAAGAGTTCAGGAGGAGCAATAAGCTTTCCTGTGGTGGATAGCAAGGTGATCCCTCTGTAGTTTCCATAGTCAGACCTGTCGCCTTTTTTGTCATGATCATGGTAGTCCTAAGGTCACCCAAATCCTTAAGATGAAGGCATGGAGCTGTGGTGTGAGCTCTTCTCTGCCCCTGCCCTGTCCCCCCTGCTTGAAGATTTCAGCAGGGATTCTGTCAACTCCAGTTGCCTGCTTGGTGACTTTCCTCACCTCATCAAGGGTTGGAGGGATTCCAAGATATTCTTTGACTGGGTGTTGTGGGATGGAGTGGAGAACACCTCTCATCAACAACAGAGTCTTGACTGAGGAGGTCTTCAAAATGCTCCATCCAATGGGCATTGATGGCTCCCCATTCCTTGATCAGGTCTCTTCCAATCTTAGGTCTCAAGGGGTTTGGTCCTTGAGTGGTCAGACTGTAGATAGCTTTGGGTCACATTGAAAATAACCATGTATCTTGTGGATACCAGCAAGATGTTGAATCTCCTTTGCCTGGTCTTCCCACCATCTGTTCTTTGTATTGCAGGTTCTCCTTTGGACCTCTGCCTTGCCTTGCTGGAGATTCAGTTTCTTTTGCTTAGAGTTGGTATCTTTCTGCCAAGCACAAAAGGCCTTGCACTTGCAGTCAATCAATTCTTGGATCTCCCAGTGGTTCTCATCAAGCCAGTCTTGATGTTTCCTGGTAGAGAATCTAAGTGTCTCCTTGCAGCGGACCTGAAGGCAACCTGAGTGCTGCTGACATTCTCCCATTGCTGTTGATTGGAATTCACCAGTTTTCCATTGAGGCATTGGTGAAAGAAGACTCACTTGATTGGGTACTCAAGTCCTTTGACATTGCCATTGCTTTGGAGCCAGTTTGAGCAACAAACAGATGAGTTGGTGATCAGTCCAGCAATTGTCAGCTCTTAGCATAGCTTGGGTGATGCAGGCATCTTTGTGATCTTGGGTATATGTGCACACACTATAAATAAAATCTTTTCTTATTTAGTCAGCCTTCTACAGATTTTCTTATCAGAACAGAATCTTAGTCCATTACTACCAATTCCTTAAATCTTTAGAAGTTGAGCCTTTTGCAGGCACATTTGCCTGCGACCACACAATGGTTTGTGACAGGCGTATGTGTTTTATGATGATACAGTTACCTTGGGTTCTTTTCTTCCCTGGCTAGTCCTTTGAACTCACCTATATTATGCAGAATATGGCTGTACTTTGATCTTCACGTTCTACTCGTTTGCCTTTGCCTTCCTTGCAGGAGCTGAGAAATAAAAACACATCTAACTTCAAGTCCTAAGATACCATTAATTTCCATTAGGATTCCCACAAATCTCCAGTTATGTATTAAACCTAGAGGGAGACTAACAAAATCAAGAAGAAACTTCCATAAATGAGCACCAATGCCAACTGGTCAATATCAGAACACTTCATCTTGCCTTGATCAGGGAGCTAGACTAGACAACCTCCTGGGGTGCCTTCCAGCCCTATTTTTTTATGATGCTTTGAAGTGAACTAGAGAAATAGGAAGGTCTGTGCTTTAGGTATCACTTTTGGACAGATTGCATCTCATGATTCTTTGTAATGCCTTCCCATCCCTCCCTCCCATAGTCCTTCAAACTATGAAAGCAGCCACAAAGTTTCTATTTAAGGTGGTCAAGCAGAAACAACTCCCACTAGAAAAAGTACAAATGGTATTGGTCTGTTCTAGACTAGGCCTCAAGCCACCAGCATGCAACAACTATCACAGCAAGCTTGTCAGCAGTTATGTTTATAGCTGGTCACTCACCATTTAATATTGAGATATTAAACACAAATTGTTCTTACCAGCAGGTGCTTTTGGTTATGGTTGACCCACATGAGCTCCTTGATCCCCAACAGCAGGTGGTACATCAGGTCCTTGGTGCCTGTTTCTTTCCAGCTCCTGTATACGCATGGAAGTCTTAGAGATCTTATCAATGAGCAGCATATAGTATTCCGCTTGGTTTTAATATGCCAAAAAAAGCCACAGGCAAAGTAGATTGAAAGATCAGGGCTAGGAAGGCCAGCAACCTGGGGCAGGAGTTGCTTTAAGGAAGAAGAGCTTCAAAAAGACCAGATACTATATGGATTCCCCAACACACATTGCCACTTCTTTCAGGTGTTAGAGCACCTCCTGCATACTGCCTGCTGGACATGAAGCCATTGTAGCAGTACAGCACTCAAGGAAAGCACCTCCTTGCCCTGAGCAGGTGCTGATACAAAGGGACATACCCTTCCACCTCCTTGTGACCAGCTAGCATTCTCCCAGAAGGTATTTTGGTAGACTTCAGGAGATGCAGGGGCACAGGTTTCTGCTTGTTGCTACCACCATCTCAGAAGCATTACAGCAATAAGAGCAAGAGCATTACATTGCAACAGTTTTTAC